AGGGTTTTCTAAAGGGCCCTTCAGGCCATCGTATTCATCGCCCTGGCAGTGGATAGAGTGGAAGAGTTCTAGGACCCAAAGGCGGCAGAAATTGCAGCCAGTGGCTTTTCTACGGTTGGTAGTCGGCTCAGACCCTCCTATACATCAACCACCCTTACAGCGGATAGCAGAGGGGAACTTCAGGCAAAATGAAGAAGCTACAAAGGTAGCCAGTGAACTTCCTTCAAGTTGAACGTCAGCACTGTTGAGAATCGCATTTAATGGAATTGGACGCGTCGGAAGGTCGTGTGGGATCTTGAGATTCAGGGGCATTTCGTGACCCTAGTTAAGCGTCTTTCGGTCGTCAAGAAGGACTCATTCTAGGCAATTTCCCGCAGTGGGGCTACGGTGTGTCCCCAGTTTGCGAGAGCGCCACGTTTCCACTTCCAAAAATTGTAGCTTTCGGATGCGTATTTGATCGAACTAGTGAAGTTTAATGATAATGTGGAAGTGTTTTTCTTCTCCTGAACCAGCCAGTTCCAAGTAGCCAATCTAGAAGGTTTCTGGGCGGAATTCATACCGGGATATAATACTGAACCAAGTGTTTGCGTGCGGCTCTGCCTGTCACAATGCAGTTCTGCACGATATCGATTGAAAATTGGTGAATTTACTTTGTAATCGTAAATCGCAATCGTTTTTTACAGGATTCCTCTACTACCACTACTTCACCACGTGGAAAACATCTGGAACCCAGCGCATTGGACCAACCGACAAGAAGGACCTGGGAATCGCCTCTCCAGCAAGTGTTGAACAAAATCAAACACGAAATGGATGACCTCCGTAAAAGAGAGACTACAGCTGAAACGAAAAGCGACCACTCAAGGACGACCAAGACGGCCAGGCCTGAAAATGACCCCAAGAAAGCCGATAAAATCGACGGCCCAGAAGCGGAGCGCACTACTGAAACGACCACACCTAGTGCCGACTCTAAAAAACACCACAAAAACGAGGCTCCAGATGATTTTGCCAAAAGGCACAGCACCGGTTCACCCGAAGATGTGAAGCGTCCCAAGGAACCTGAAGAAAAACCTCATTCAACAACGAGAAACGTCACTGAGAATACTAAGCGCACAGATGGCTCCAGAAGACCTCCACTCAGAGGCGATCGCTCATCAACGAACCGTACAACTGAAGCAACCAAGGCTCCAGATGATCCCCAACGAAGCGAAGATTCAGCGAAGCCTGAGAATGACGATATTTCACCGAAGCGAGTTAACAAGCCAGAAGAGCACCACATGACTCTGATGAACCGAAAAATGACGATCCATCGACAACGAAGCGCACTACCACACTCAAAGAGCACCAGGATGGTCCTGAAAAGCCTAAAAATGGTAATCACTCAACAGTGAAGTCTACAGATGCAAGCAGGCCTACGAGGCGACCTAATGACACTGATCACACACCAGCAAGCAATACCACTGTCCACAGAAGCACGAATGGTCCTAAAGAGCCTGGGAATATTGTTTATTCAACAGAGGAACACCCTCAAATAGAGGGTCCGCAAGATGATTCCGGGAGGCCTGAGAATGGTCATCATTCAACAAGGAAGAACAGCACCGATCCCAGACATACTCACGACCCCAAGTGGTCCAGGGATGGAGACCATGTTACAACGAAGGCCTCTACTGAAGCAAATAGATCTGCGAATGATCCTGAAGAGCCTGAGGGTGATCATCATTCAACAGAAATCACCGTCACCGTCCATAACCACACGGGCGATCCTGAGGGGCCTATGAAAGAGGACAAGACTACAGCGAAGAACATCACGGAAAGGCCCACATATGGTCATGAAGAACCTGCGAATATTCTTCATTCAACAGAGAAACACCCTCACATAGAGGAGCTGCAAGATGGTACCGGAAGGCCTGAGAATGCTCGTCTTTCAACAGAGGAACACCCTGATGTGAAGAGTTCAACAGAGGAGCACCCTGATGTGAAGAACGAGCATACTTCAGAAAAGCCTGAGAAGCAAACAACCAAACCAGCGGAGCGCGTTGATAGTTCGGGAAGGCCCGGTAACAACTCCCACACAATCACTACGACTACTGAAAAGTCGAAGCATCCAGGCGGTAGTGATGTCCCTGCAGGAAACGATCTTCCAGGCAACAGAGAACACCACTGTCGCAACCGAGCCTACAGAAGGCTCTGGAAGGCCTCCTGCCGAAAGATCAACAGCAAGAAGCCCAGAAAAGGGCGCTAAGCAAACAGGTGACCCTGAAAAACCGGAGACTAACGAACCTTCAATAACGAAAGGCACTGCGACAACTACTGAAGCAACTGAGAAAACGAACGACTCCAGACGGCCTGAGAAGGGGGACTACTCACCAACGAACTCAACGAAACCGCCCGAGCGCATAAACGGCTCTACAGTACCTACCAGAGCGGAGTCCGCTAGATGATAATAACACCACAGAACCGAAACCCTTGGGACAGAACACCACCAGGGGACATCACTATGTGACAGTTGGCACAGGAAAACCGGAGAATGATGACGAGTTCCTCCAGGAAATGAACAACCAAACGTTTCCAAAGAGCCCACAGACAACAGCTATTCCACACCGACATTCCAACATCACAATGAGACAGTGAGCACAGGAAAACCGAAACATGATGATCCAGACGTTTCTCAGGAGCCTACACTGGGCGGCAGTTCCCCATCGAAGGACACCGGTAATGGAACCGAGCCCACAGGCGGTTCTAAAGAGCCTGGGACATCGGAGCCTGAGCGCACAAGCGATTCTTCAGCACACACCAGTGATGGTCCATCCGCTGAAGAGAACACCACGGTTAACCCAACTGAGCCCAAAAATGGTGATGATCTTTCAAAAGTGAACATTTCGGAGTCCAGTTCACATGGGCCTACAGACACTTCCGGAAACCCTATGACACAAGTACATTTCGGAGACGACTACCGCGAAAGCTAAGCACCCAGACGTTTCCAAGGAGCCCACGGACAACAGTTATTCAACACCGAAAAGAACTATCGGAACCGCTGACTCAACAGACGGGTCTACACGGCCTGGGAAGGGAGACTACTCATCAACGATGAACTCAACGAAATCGCCCGACCGCATAAACGGTTCTACGGTACCTACCAGAGAGGGTCCGTTGGCCGAAGAGAACACCACAAAACCAAAACCCACGGGACAGAACACCACCAGGGGACATCACTATGTGACAGTTGGCACAGGAAACCCGGAGAATGATGAGAGTTCCCCAGGAAATGAACAGCCAAACGTTTCCAAGGAGCCCGCAGAGAACAGCTCCACACCGAACAGAACTAACGGAAATGCTGACCCAACGGAAGGCTCCAGACGGCCTGGGGAAGGAGACTACTCATCAACGACAAACTCAACGAAATCGCCCGAGTACACAAACGATTCTACAGTACCTACCAGAGGGAGTCCGTTGGCTGATAATAACACCACAGAACCAAAACCCGCGGGAAAAATGCCACCAGATTCCATCACAATGCGACAGTGAGCACGGAACACAGAAAAAATGAATGATCCAGACGTACTCAGGACAATTCTAGACTGGGGCGGCGGCCATTTCACCATTCGACAGGATGTAGGTAACGAACCGAGCCCACAGGCGGTTTTAAAGAGCCTGGGAAATCGGAGTCAACAAAATCACCTGGGCGCACGGGCGGTTCTTCAGCACACATCAGTGATAGTCCATCCCACCACTCGCACCCACGGCCTCACCCCACATGTAAGGACACCTGAAGAGCACCAAGAATGGTGATGATCCTTCAATATGCACACATTTCAGAAGTCCACTTCGCGTGGCCTGCGAACAAGCCAGAGAACTTACATGCATAATGACTTTCGAGCGCAACCACCATAAAGGCTACATACCCAGACGTTTCCAAGGAGCCCACAGGCAAGGGCTATTCCCCTCTTAGAAGTACTGCTAACACGACCGAGCCTGCAGGCAGTGTCAATGGGTCTGAAAGGAGCAGATGTTGAGATCATAAACGAGCTACAAAACTCCGTCTGACTGCGGCACGGAGAAGGCAACGAATTAATGATTACTCAGTAAAAACGAAAAATACGGAGAAGACGGAGCCTGGGAGCGGTCCTGCGGGATCTAGCGGTGGGAAAACCTTAACAACGAGTCAAGTTCCTGGGTCAGATAAACATGCGTATAGTCCTAAGGTGTCGAGTGAGGGCAACAATGGCTCGACGAGGCAGAACACTTCGAATGCGCCCGGGAGTGGGGGCGCTTTCGAGCAATCTGGTGGTGGCACTAATCCACCAAACGAACACCCTCATGAGACAGCTGAAACTACAGGTGGGTCTGGAAGGTCCTACAAGCAGCGAACCTTCAGTAACAAACAACACACGCGATGCGGTTCCATCCAACAAACATCACGCTGTAGATGGCTTGACTACGGAAAGCACTACTGAAACAGAAAACCGTGAAGGTTCTAGGGATCCAGTCGACAAGAAACAACAACAAACGCCTCTACCAATGAAGGTGAGCAAGGGTCTGTCTCTGATATGGTCTCAGGAGGCTCCCCGCGCGGCCTTCGCAAGTGGCGTCACGGGCTCGACTTCGCTCTGAAAGGCATCGCATTCTGTCAATCATGCATACATCCACGTATGAGTGCTAGAAGGGGACAGTTACATAAAGGACTCCTTTCTCTTCCTTGTGCTGCTGTAGTTGGCAGGAGGGCGACAGCGACTTCCACTGCTTGCTTTTCTGTGTCCTCTCACCGAGGTACTGTGAATCCGATTCTCCGTTTCCACTGATGTTATCACTGTCCCATTAAGAGGGCGTAGTCGGTCTAATAATGGGCGCCGCCGACTGCCTACGCTCCCCTTCACCCAGACTACAGTACCGCCCTCCTCACGCCCTTTCATTGTCTCGATTATCAAGTCATGATTTATCCGTGTAAGTGAGGAAGTGCACAAAACTGTAGATAAAAGAAAGACAACGAAAAACAAGTCGGGTTGCCGAATTCATGCCCTGAAGTTGGAACAAAATGACGTGAACTTTACATTCTTAT